GTGTGTGTGTCCTGTGTGTGTGAGTGTGTGTGAATGAGTGTGTGTGTGTGTTTGATACTGGGGATTCAAACTATGGGAGTTTCAACATTAAGCTACAGCTATGCATTTTGTTGTTGTTGTTGTTTTTCCCTAGGGATTGAATCCAGGGCTCTTAAGTACTGAGCCAAGAAGATATGAATTCACAGGCTGCTCTCTAACTTTCATTTCTCCTGCCTTAGTGCCTTAGTTCCCCTCTCAGAGACTGAGAGGAAATTATAGATGGTCACCTCTATGCCTGGCTCTCACATTTTCTAATGAAGACTTTTCCTTTAAAGTGTTTATGATAATCAATGGTAATCATATGTATAGTAAGTGTATTGGTGATTGGTTCTGGTAGTAATGTTTCCACAGGAGTGTCACTATTGTACATATATCTTTTGTTTGTTTGCTTTGAGGCCTATCCTGTTGTTTGTGAGCTGCTTTATAGTTCTATTATTATTTATTTTGTCTCCAGGGACTAGAAATGGGACCTAGGGGTGATCTACAACTGAGCTTTATCCCTGGCCCTTTTTATTTTTTATTTAGAAGCAGGCTACCCTGCAACTTTTCATCCTAGTGCCTTACCTCTGAAGTAAAGTTATTTTATATTTATTGTTGTTGTTTGTTTTCTTTTTCTGGAAGAGGGTCTTCCTATGTTGTCCAGGTTAGCCTTAAAGTTAAGGGCTTAAGTTGACCTCATGTGCCAGCTTTCTGAGCATCTGGGACTACAGGCTGGTACCTTTTGAGTCCAGTTCAGGCATTTGTCTTTGTTTTCCTTATGATTTTTATCCAAATAGAGGTTTGACTCCATTTGGGTGAAGTTTTTTTTATCATTTCAGTAAAGTTTTGCGGTTTTATAATTGTAGAGCTTGCATGAGAGTTTATTCTTAGGTGTTACATATTTTTAAAAATTGCTGATTTCTGTGCTGAGAGTATAGGTGAATACTGAGCATGTGTGGAGGCCCAGTGTTCATCACCCCCCAACCCTTATACTCCTCATTCATTCCTAATGAGTTTTCCCCCATTGTGTTCTAACTGGTTATTCTTGTTTATAAAGATATTTGTTTTCTAGCATTTTTATAACTTAATGAATGATAATATACATCCTCTATTTTTGGCAGAACTGGGGATTAAATTGAGAGATTCACTGATGGGCCAGCTTTTTTTTTTTCTATTAGGGATATAGGGGTTAATCACAGATATTTTTCTGCTATGGAGATATATCTCAAAGTCTTTTTATGTTTTTTTAAGTTTTTTCTTTTTTTTTCCAGTTGTAGTTGGACCCACTGTCTTTAATTTATTTTTTTTTTATGTGGTGCTGAGGATGGAATTCAGTGCCTTGCCACAAACAAGCCCCTTTTGTAGTTTTTAAGACAATGTCTCTGTCAGTTGCTGAAGCTGGCCTCAAACTGGGATTCCTGTTTCCTCAGTTTGCAGAGTTATTTGGATTAAAGGAGTGTATCTCTGTAAGCAGGTGGACATTAATTCCCTTGTGTGTGCTTGTGTGTGTGTGTGTGTGTGTGTGTGTATTGTGTGTTTTTGACACTGGGGATTCAAACCAGGGAAATTTCACCATTAAGCTATAGCTATGCATTTTTGTTTGTTTGTTTTTTTGTTGTTATTTTT